ACACACACACACACACACACAGAACAGCTCTAACTCTAAAGCTCAGTACCACTATGACAAGCATAAATTTCAATAACAACAACAACAAAAATCTCTTCGTAAAACACCATGTCATAGATGTTAAGATGTTGTTTTTGTTGTTTTCGATCCAGCAACATATGGGCTCTCGCATTTCTGTCCAATGTCATGTAGTGATAAGTGCAGGTTTGCTGAAGTTGCTGTAATGTTCCGTAGAGTGTGTTGTCAAAGTAAGGTCTCGGAGGGGGAAGTGTAGCTCTGATGTCATTTAGGGCTGTACAGTGGAAAAGGTGATGTTCCACTGTCTCATATGCATCGTCACACAAAGGACACATTGGGGGAAGTTCTGGTTTTATTCTGTTCAAGTGAAAGCTGAGCTGTATATGTTTTGTTCGTAGGCGGAAGATCGTGGTCTGTTTCTTTCTCTGTAGGTGGTTGATATTGTCATTTCGTTTCGTTGTAGCCATATGTTAAAAAACTGTTATGCCTGTCTTTCCCAAGGCCCATCTGTTCATCCAATCGTGTTTGCTGTTGCTTTTAATGAATATGTTTTGCAGTGTTATATGAAGTTGGAATGTTAGGTTGTTCCTGACTAGATCCCCTTTTGGCGAGTGTGTCTGCTCTGTCATCTCCAGGTATGTTTGAGTGTCCGAGAATCCACTGCATCACCAGGTTGACGCCACAGGGTGTTATCAGGTGATGGGAGCCAAACAGTATATTATTATGTGTCAAGTCTTCGTTTAGATGATGGTCATTTTCTATTGCTTGCAAGACTGATAGTGAATCAGTAAAGATCACTATACTCTGTATTTTTTTTGGATGAGCGTCAAAAACTGTGTGGAGATGGTATAGTGCTGTTTCAATTGCTATCATTTCTGCGTCGTAGTTGTTACATTTCTCGCCACAGGCTGCAGAGATCTCATTAGAACTTCCATCTGGGTACTATATTAGTATTCCATATCCGGCTTTGGTTGTGCCTTTGAATGCTGAGCCGTCTGCATAGACGTGTATCCAGTCATCTGAATAGCTGTCGAATGTTTGATGTGATGCAAGCATCAACTTCACTGGGTCTGAAGACTTTGTGCTATTGTCTCTGAGAGAAGTTGTAATGATTGGTTTTTCCATAGAAATGTGAGGAGGGATGTTTTGGTTGACTCTTTTGATTTCTCTTCTGTTTTGTGGTAGATGGTGGCTCTCCATTAGTTCTGTAATGCGATGCATGGCTGATTTTTGTTGAAGTCGTTTCTTTGGTTTCCATGTTTCTACTAATTTCGTGTTTGAGTGGTTGGGGCACATTCTTTTGGTTCTTTCATGAAGCTCCAAAACTGCTTTATCTCTGTGAATTCTCAGGGGTTCAAAATTTGAAAGAATTTCACTTGCGGCAGTAGGTGTAGATCTCATGCCACCGTTTATGAAACGAAGGAGATTATTTTGTTAAGATGTTAAGATAAAAACTTTCTTAATTTCTCGGAAGTAAAAGAACTCTGAAGTTCTTAGTGAATTTTAATTGAATAAAATAAAGAGAAACAAAAAAAAAGAAGCCTAGTACAGTGAAATAGTTGGAATTTTGACCTTCATTCCAAAAGTCAATTTTCTCACACAACTGTACTAATATTCGACCATTGGAAATTGTCAAAATATGTAATGGGGACTCTGCTTCAACAGCCCAGCAACTAAAATCAAGATGAAACTGAACAAGAATATAACAGAGGAAGCCATTGCAATATAATATAAGAAACAATACTTGGCAATTTTAAAAAAACCCAAAGCGGTGACTCAAGTAATATTTGTAACCTTCAAACTTCATTAATTTCTAAAACTTCTGGGACCAAACCTCAGGCTATAAAGACAGCTTGTTGAAGCAATACTCATTATCATACAGCTAAAAATAAATGCTCTACTGTAATAGGTTTTGTCATACTACATCAGTATGATTCACAGAGATTTCTTGTTATAGTAAATATTGTTAATAACCCCATAATATTGGAATTGCCTTATTTGAAAAAAGCTAGGTTGCTTTCTGTTATAACCACAATTTATTGTCTTGATCCAATTAACTTAATTCCATTGTTTTCTTTTCATTTATTTGGGGGGGGGGGTAATCTTTGATGAAAATTGTTGTCATGTGTGAATCATCCCACATGGCAGTGTTATACTATACATCAAATAAGAGCTCTTTTCAAGCTGTACACATTGAAGCAAAATCATTTTAGGTAAGTGGGTAGGCAGGTAGGTAGGTAGGTAGGTAGGGAGGTAGGTAGGAAGGTAGGTAGATAAGGCTTTAGGTAGGTAGGCAGGTAGGTAGGTCCGTGATTTGTTATGGTGTTTTTAATACTTGCAAAACCATATTATTTTTCAATTTTGTTTAATATTTTTTTGTCAACTTGGAAAATGTAAGTTGATTTGTGCTCAAAATATTGTAACACTCGGTTTCTAACATAACTCAATGCAATGCACTTGAAGAAAGGTTTAGTTTGATGAATCAACCCTGGATTGTGTTAAGTTGTTTTTTTCTCATCACAACCTGTCATTCACTCACCCATGACGAACAAACGAAATAGCACGCTTTCTCATTGGCCACAAAAGACTTAACGGCAATTGTTTTCCTCCTAAACTAAAGAGATTAAATTTAGACAGGTTTGCTTTCTCGGTGAACTGCCTGATTTAGTAGGTTTTGAAAGTGGAACTGTCAGTGGGGCAAGTGCAGGGGCCTAAAAGGGGCCGAGGAAGATGATTCTTTTTCTTCAAAACCTGACTTTGCAGATATTGCTATTAGATTCCATAAGTAGGCCTACATGTACTGGTGCCCAACCGAATGGGAAAAATTCCTGTACATGTACCTTGAGTAGAGTCTTTGGAGTGCCACCTTGATTACATGTACCTTTGAACTAGACTACATGTATAATGCAATGCTGAAGGCTCCCCTGTCGACTCAGTGACGCTGTCCGTTCATCAGTTATTATAATTGTATCTGCCCCTCTTTATTCTCTCCTACAATGCTCCTTGCAGAATGGTCTTGCAGACTTGTCATGTAACATTACCATTCCCGACACCTTTTCTTTGTTGTGGTTTGAAGACCACCATGGGGCTTACATTTTGTTGGATGGTTAGGGAGAAGCTATCCAAAAGAAAACAAAGACGCCAGGAACATGGAGGAGAAACAGGATTGACAAGCCTATAGAATTGTTTGAAGGAACGGAGAAAACAACAACTCCTGAGTTT